TTTCTGCAGACTTGGCACCAACAGACTAGTTCAGCTTTCCTCTGTCGAAGCAACTGAAAGAGGGGAAGTTCGGGGATTCAGATCTATTCGAAACGGGCTTCTCCGTGTTTCAAGACACACAGTGCAAGGGTTGCGCCATACGAAAGGAATGCAAGGTGCTGCGCCATATGAAAGGGTAGGAGTAAGCAGATAAGCAGCATGCCAAATCTGTGGCCGGATAATAACAAGGGCATCGCATGGAAAGGTTGTTTTCCACACCATAGACGAAAAATATGGCTGCAAAACTTTTTTGATTCACCTGAAAGGCGCCGAAATAGTCAGGTTCAAGCCAATTTGTTTAGAGGACTGCGAATTGAGCAAATTTCAGAGTCGGAAGGTGATTGCCCGTCGCACATTGTGGTGCTATGTCGAGGGAATGTGTGGAAGGTGGAGACGCTCAAGAATGGGCAAATAAAGAGCCCCGATGAATTCTACAATGTAGGTTTAAAGGACGAACGTTCTAGTTTTCCACAATTCGTTAAACTTATTTCTACACAGCTCTGATCAGCTAAAAGGAGTAACCGATCACTCTCTAGTAGCTTTTGCACCATTGCAATACTTATATCTTGCCAAAGATCTGAGAATGTGGGCAAATTATGAGGGACCGACTAGGAACTTGCGAGAAAACCCATAGCTAAATTAATGAAAACTGGTCTCGATTTTCGTGGTGAGGAATGGCTAACTAAGGGTTACATTAGCCTCACTGAATTTATCCAATAAACTTTGAGAGTACAAACGCTCTAGAACAAAACTATTCCTTTTTAAAAATGTTGAGAGGCAGCAGTGAACAAAGAAGGCGACATTTCCTCCATAGTGGAAGCAGCTGAATTTTCAAAAAGGCTCTATTTCAGACTCTGCGATATATCGACACGCATTCCAAGGACAGCACTATGAACAGCGTAGCCTCAATGACCACTGAGAACAGAGATAAGTGGGCCAAGGTAGGGAGTTACCGAATATGTAGGCACGTTTCTTCTTCAGCACCTGCACGATGCTCTCCTAAAAGTTTGAAAGTTTCTGCAAACAACGTGGACGTCCTTTCTGTTATCACTCGATTAAGATTAGAGCTTTTCGTCAAAAGACTTCAGATCGTCAAGTTCTGCAAGACAAATGAAATTCATGGAAATTCAGCTTTCAATAGAACCTCGGAATTGATGATTATCCTGACGTATTATTGCGTCATAGAGGTTTCCAGGTGGAAACTCAAACTAACGGCCCTAAAATAAGGTTTCCATCCTGAGACCTCTACGGCTCAAGAAACAGGTCGCAATAAGAATATGTAGCTTAATGTTTCGAAAAATTCTGTACTGGAATGCGCAATGCACTTGAGTTCAACCCCAGGGAGCAGTTGAATGCTTAGCGGTACATTCCAGCTGCATGCACGCAGATAAAATGAGGAAATGTTCGAAATTCACCCCAAAATGCACCACGTACTCGACTACATCCATACACTACATAATTAATAGTATATCTTTTGATATCCAGGAATTCTGTTTCATTTGGGACGGCTAAATGACCTGCGCTCAGCAACCTCTTATCTCAAAGATTATCTGGGACCAGTTTTAAGTAGAAGTAATCGATCGATTTCCTGAAATTTCACATAATCGAAGGTATTTTTGGCCGAAGCCTGAGATTTAGCAACGATTTGTTCCTATGGTAGAATACAGTTAGCTGTGTTAACGTCTGCCCTGATTGCAGACGAGCTCTTCTTTCGTAGTGTGGCCCTAAACATCATTCTGCGTTATGCTCGAACGATAAGATCAGTTTGTGTTCAGACGCAGTCGCATATTAGATGTACACCCCTCAATGCCTTCAAAAAATAGTATAAATTTGTTTTCTTCATTTTCGGCTTCCTTACTGTCGATCAAATTTCCCCGTCCTTAACATTATGGTGAACCGTTCGTCGTTCCAATTCCATGAACTTGCCGACGTCTTTTCTTGGATGGGTTTAAGCGACCCTCCCTCCCCCCTCCCCGACGACCACCCCCTCACCACGGCTGTTTTTATAGTGTGTGATTATGTGATCAGTCGACACAGCATTTGCTCATTTCCTTCCAAGCGGTCGTCGAGTGGGGGAGCGGGGGGCGGAGAGGGAGGAGTGGAGCGGAGGTGAATGGTGTTGGCTAATGAAACTGATAAATGCTAGCTAAGTTTGACTATTTCGTTCTTACTTTTCAAACTTTCCGCACACCTCAGAAAAAACCCTCCCGTCCCCTTGAATTCTACAACTTTCAAAAATATGACTCCCATTCAATCTCTTGGTCTTGCTTTCACCAACTTAAAATACGATCCCTCCTCCAGAATTTCAAATACGACCCCCTTCGCTGAGAATTGCACGCATGGTCGGCCCTGCTTGACGCCCTCGTGCGATTCACATCTGCAGCGTCTGCGCTCACACTCAGCGGCAGCTCCCGTCGTGTGGTTGACGGCAGCTCATTCAGAACCCATTCGATGACCCGCCGACGAACGCGGAGACGCATGACGCATTCCATGGTGAAGCGTTTGGGCAAGTGAAGTGGAACATTTGAAAACTTTGACAAGCTCAGCGGGTGTCTTCTGTTTGGAAAAAAATAAGGCCTCGAAGTATTGTAAATCCAAGAAAGCTCCGAATTTTGCAGGTACGGGCGTCGATGATCGCTGCTTCTGAGATTAACGCTGAATCTTTGCGAATAGTCGAGACAGCGAGTTTCTGTCTCACACTTGCTGACAAATCCTATGACACCACAACAGAGGCAAGTGAACAGCACATTTCAGATGGCAGGTTCTCATTTAAGAAGTTTCGTTTCTGTTCAGGTTCTTCACTCGGCCCTTTGATGGCGAGAGAGCCACTACAGTGTGGGCTGACAAATCTCTGAACATCATCGCTTGTAAAGACGGACGACTTCTCGTGCAAGGCGAGGTAGACAAAATTTTCTATGGTTCTGTATTGAATGTTCTCATCGTCCATTTACAATTCGCTTCTCGGCCTCAATTTTTCGCAAAGACCAGTCTGCAATTAGAGCTGCACGGAGGTGGCTGTGCTTTTTTGAGAGAGATTTAGGGGGAAATACAGGAGGGAATATGCCGCGTGTGACGGCAGGGTACAACCAGAAAAGCTAAGCAGCGTTTGGGTCGCAGATCGACGATACCGACGCTTAGAGCGCCATGAGCTAAAGGGCAGAGGTCTCAGTTAGTATGGTATGGTGCCACCTGAGGGCGGGCAGGGATAAAATTGTGGCCGAGGAGCGCAAGTAGCGCGAAAATATGTCAAGTGCGTGGCGCTGGGTGGACAGTAGAGTTTGGTAAATTTCGATGGATTTCCTTTTTGCCGTACCCTTATTTGAAAATCTGGTTAAGATGTATTATTATGATGAGCCGTCAACAGCAACGATAGATAGCCTAGTTTCAGTGTTCGCCACGTGCACCTGAGAGGTCGCTCCTGTCCGTCTGATTTCAATTCCACAATCTGCACGGCATTTCGAGACGAGTCTATGGAGAATTCGACGGGGTGTGTAAGCGTTTCGTAAGTGCAGTTCGTGTACTGAGGTGGGATCTTTTAACTCAGCTCACACAGCAATAGGTTTTACCTTTCAGAAGGAACTCTTGTTATCTTCTCGCTCCCCTATCTATCGCAATTTGTTGTGACGGCCTGTCGATTTTGCTGTCACAAAATTTGATCACGAACAAAACACGAATGAGCTAGGTGGGGTTCATCCACGGTGAGCGGGGCATATGCCCAAATGGGCGGTACCAAAAGCAAAAATTTCTAATTGAGCTACAGAACAGCTCACAGACAAGGGTCAGAGGAGTGCACAGGCGTGCGAAATAGCAGGCGGCGCCGTTGGTTGAGAGGAAATGCCTAAAATCGTTTCCTTGGGAAGATCGGAGAGACACAACTTTTCTTATTATAGCACAGTAATGTTGACGCCATTGTTATTTTGCACATCGGAGACGATGCAGCACTTCGGTCCAGAAAGTCGATTTGGCAACCAAAGGTGCGTGCTACTCCAGAAAGCCTTTTGTTCGCGTCCGTTTCGAAAAATGTTTTGCCATTTTCAGGATGCAACCTTCGACTTGCCAAAGCTACTCGAATTCGACCTGAGCTACGAAAATCTCAGCGCAATTGGTGCTGCAAATAAGAATTTTCTTGCACTGGTAAGGCTTCATACACAACTCCCCGATCACAAGGCTTGGATTGATCTTTCTTTTAGAGGTCGTCCTTCCGGGTGAAATCGGTCACATTCTCTGGCTATGGAAATCAACTGGTGCGAAAGTCGCGGCTCTACACGGATACCGTGATGCAGATCGCGTTACAGCTAGCTTTCCTGAAAACTCACAACAGGTAGGAGCGTTCACGGACTGTCACTGGAGCAATGATTGCTCACAGCCAGCCGAGAAAGATCCACAAAAGGTGTTGAGACCAAACATCCGTGCTATCTTCCGAAACAGGGCATCGATCAACTTGCAGCCCTCAACTTGTTGTAGCTACTCTGCAGCAAATGGAGGCTCGTACGAAATGAATACAGGGGGGGGCCAAAAAAAAAGACATTTTGCCTATGTCGGACTTCGGCTCTTTTTTCTTCGCAGAGATTGCTGTCGTTGACGGGAGTTCCTCAGCAGAGTATTCCCTAAGTGTTCCTCTATTAGTGTACGCAGGCTCTCCTTCACTGCCCTCACCGTCTTCAGAATATGACGTCATCTGTCACCGTCGTCAGGCTCAAGGAGGTCTACCGTAAGAGCTTCAGCCTGAAGCTCTTACGCAATTTCGTGAATCGATTTAATGTTGGATAGTTTTCTAGAGGCATTAGCTACCACTGTGCAAATCCCCTCGGAACTAGCTTTCCAGTAAGGGTCGTTATGGTACACGATCCTTCGAAGACCCCATTGAGATCGACCAGTGCACCATGTTTCCAGGGCTAATTCTTCTGATGCCGTCCACGTACGTGGCCACTATGAAGATTTTCTTATAGAATGGAATGCACTCTTTAATAATAAGTTGGAACCGTTCGGTCTGAGTTGAGTAAAATGTGCTTAAATCCATCTGGAAGTGGAGGCAAAATGTCTTTTTTTTTTTTTTGGCCCCCTGTAATATCTCTCCCATAAAACTCTGAGCGGTGAACGTAGTCGCGGCATAATGGGAGCTAAGGTAGTGAAACCCGAGACAGAGGGGAGGAAAGTTGGACCCGTCATGGGTAGTGAAGGGGCGGCAAGAAGCGGTCCAACAAGGGGGTTTTCTCTAGGAAAGCCCGCACGTTTCAATAATGGTTTTCTCGCAGATTATTGCCAGCAGTTCCAATAGGAAAGTGCTCCATTTTCGCGGACGCTCTGCATTTTACCAAAATAAGTGTAAAAGTACTGACAATAGGAAGTCAGAATACCGTGCGCGAGCTAAAATTTTTAGCACTCGGATCTTCCTCTCCGATGGTGCCAAATGTGCTAAATGTCACAATTCAGCGATGTCATTCTGGTTAGCGATCGAAGCCAAAGCTAGCACGTTGAACTTGAACGCAAATTTAGTCTAGGAATCGAAAACAAAAACACATTGAGAGTCAAATTCGCTACTTTTTGCTAGCTACTAAACCTGCAGAAAAATATGAAACATGGTTTAGTGGTCTATACATGAGTCTCTACATTATGCGTAAAACAAAGACCCACTTTGTAAGCGCGTCCCCTGGCTTGGAAGGAGAACTGGTTAGACTGGCTCATGCCTCATGCTCTCGAAGATATCGCTCATCCACGGTTGTGGCTCCACATTCTCCTCCGCCTCTAGCTGATCTGCCCTAAGCAAATTTCTCGATAAGGAATGCATATCAGATGAATCAGAAATAAGTACTGAATCCCTCTTGGGATTAAAGAATTTGTTGATCGCGAGTTCAGAGTTGAACCCCAGACACTGTTTCTTCAGGCCCTCGGCAGGTTTAAAATACTCTGACCTATTGAGCACCGCAAAACAGCTTCCAAGAGCTGGTCTGAAAACTTAATGTTACTGTTTCGCAGGTTCGCACCAATTTATGAAACGGCCTCAACGAGAAAATTCTTCCATGGTCGAACAGAAACGGTACGAGGATGCACAGAAGAATGGGGGGTCGCCTTCAGCGAGCGGTATGGATGCCGAAGATTTGAGGTCAGGCATAAACCGCATAGATAGCGGTTGGTTGGAGGCTGGAGTACTATGGCGATGCTAGAGAGGAAACAGGCGAGGGCTGAAGGGTCGCAAGGTCAAAGGAAAGCGGTAGAAAACCGTGAAAAATTCACTGTCATTCAACCACTGACTCCCTGCAGCGGTTTACGGCTTTGACTTACTGGTTACTGTTTAGCGGCGTAAGGGGCACCTCGGAGAATACGCAACATGGCAGTTAGAAGGTGCAGTAGCTGCAAAATGCATTAGAATACAACCAAACGATAATGATGGCAGAATAGCAAGCGCTAGTATCACGCCTGGAGGCGTGGCGGCTCAGACATGGACCGGTATTAAATTTCGGGCCTGGTCTCCCTTCCCAATAGCGGAAGTTTCACCGCGAAAACGCCCCCTGTACTGTCCTTTGCTTTCCCAATGCAGAACCACTTTATAGCAGTCACTGCGTTTGAACTAGCGACATTTGGGAGCCCATCAATGTACGGGGAAGTAAGCAATGATCTTTCGTACGAGCTGCCGCCACGACCATAATTGGCATCTTCTCGCAGTGGATTCTTATTAACTTCTATTTTCTTCCCGGGACATCCCGGAAACGAATGGGGGTGGTAGTATTGCAGTTTCGACTTTGGGGGAAAAGATCGACTAGCCCAGTTTGCCTACTTGACAGCTATGGCGCGAGCGTTCCCAACCTCCAAGAGGTATGGAAGTTTCGTTTCTCATAGAGCGAGAGCGAGGAGGTGTGAAAGGTCAACTCTTTCTCCAAATTAGCGAGGTCTGCCCATACGCAAGTGAGAGAAAGGTGTGATGTATTGAGAGCGATGAGATCTGGTCGCTACTAAATCAAGGCAGAAAGAGGCACACCCACCCCATGGAACACGCACTACACTAGGCCGCTTAGAAGCAATCATACTGTATTCCGATTGACGGTTAACAACTTCCAGATGGAGGAACAGAAGCGACTCTTCATGGCAGCATATGATGCGCATAACCAACTAATGGACGACGCTATGAATGGACAGGGTGAGCTAAGCTACTACAAGTAGAAATCAAGCCATTCACTGAGATTCTTGGGAGCATTTTACCATCGTCAATGTAGGAATCCGATATCTTAAAAAAATGCTTGTTTAAGGGATTGACCGACATCTCTACGGCCTTCAGAAAGCATTAGAAGTGGTGAGAAAAGAAAGTAAAACACCAGTGGATCAACCTGCTATTTTCACTGATGAGGCCTACAAGATCTCAGGCGGTGATGGGAACTTCCTGCTGTCTACTAGGTACTCAATTTTTGGCTCAATTCAACTTCGTAGATCGACTTATTAAGGAGCTCTTCTTCCAGTTTCATTGGCTACATGGGTGAGAACGACGAACTTGGCTGTTTTGGATATGTCACTGCTATGCGCCCAGACGGTTATGGCGCATTCTACAGGATAGGGAAGGACAGGTGACATTCATGCTTACATTCACCCTTCTATTTACTACCAGGCCGTACCGAACACAACCCAGTAATTTTTCAGGGAATCGGGTAAAAAAAACGATTACTTAGAATTGCTAGGTTAGCGAGTGGGTCGCTAGGACAAAAAGCGAATTTTTTGCTTCTAGCGGTGCCAAACTTTACCGCTGAGAAATCTGAGGTCCTTCCTCCCGCGGGAAGTTTCGCGCTGCCAATAGCGAATACTCGCTTTTTTCCCGGCGACCCGCACCCGCAGTATCATCCCTCAAATCACCTACTCCGCTCTCCCTCCTTGTCACCTTTTCATCTTTCGCTTTATAATAGTAGTTTATATAAGTGAAGGAGAGAAGCAACCAGTACCATTACTTTTTGACTGATTTCAGGCTACAAGTGACGATTTCCGACTGGACTGGATCGGAATCCAACCTCGACGTGTACGGTGACAATCTTGTTTGGTCTCTGACGAAACTGGCCTCTTTGTTCACTTACAAAGCCAACATTTAAAAACTGAGCCGTCGTTACGCAATTCTATGAATGTATTTACAATAAAT